CAGAGAGAAAAAAACAATGACTGCTCAGGGCCTGCACAGACAAAAATATACTCAGCAGAGTCAGGCAAGAACATTTAGAGATCAGTGTATCTGCACTGGAACCTTGGCTATTGGTGTAAATAGGTTTTCACAACAATCATGAAGCAGACAGTTACCGCATGGTTTATCACCTGTAAATCTGCTCAAAAGTGATCCGAAAACCATCCAGTGTCACACACACACACATTGTATTTTCTGTTTTCTGGTGAATTTTTGTGTGTCTTTTCTGGATCAGTTCATGGTGCATTATTGATCTAAAGAAAAACAATATATAAGAACCACTTGACAGTTCAGAACATAATGGACGATAATGCTCTCTGGCTCTCATTCATTCTGTACTGCTTTCAAATATTTATTCTCCTGTGAATCAACTTTTCTCTTTTAATATTATGCCTGGTAACTTTTCATGTCATTTGAGTGATGTGCGTTTCACCAAAATGTTCTAAACCTTGGGCAACATCACACAGATCTTGGATGACTTTTAGGAATCATGTACATCTCAGCCTTGTTATTGAAGCTGCCTGAAAACATGAATATAATACATGTTGGCCATAAAACATTATTTTTCATTAATCTATTAGAGAATACAACCATCCAAAAGAAAGTCAGAAAACATTTCTGATTGTTGTGGCTCTACTCTTGGTTTTTAAAACATCTAACCTCCTGCACAGAATAGTCCAACTTTGCGTGAACTCATAATTCATATTAATGTTTTGCGAGTAAATTAAAATCCCCCCTTTGTTTCATTCATGTTTATACAGGAGGGTTACAGATGTAAATGCTCTAAATACTGAAGTAGACATTTGTCTTGTGTGCACCCTGAAGTCTATTCCTATAAAAATTCCTCAAGACACCAAAATTAGTCCAAATACAACATTGGTAATGATTTCTTTTTTGTCAAACCTTAGTGGTTCATTGAATAAGTCTTCTTATTTGATCATTTAATTTTTGCAACACACTGTGGAAATTTTCACTGAAATCTGTTTTGTTAATTGTTTTAATCCCCTTTATAGACTTAGATTTTGATAAACTTTATTGATCCACAAGGGAAATTGTTTTTCTCAAAGCAGCACAAAATAAATAGTTATATAAGAATATACAATAAATAAGAAAAAAAAATAAAAATTTAAAAAGCAAGCAGGAAAAAAAAGAATACAATACAAAGATTTCCATATCTACAATTTACACTTTTACATTTTTTTTTGTTTTGTTTGTTTTTTGCCAAGTGAAGAAAGACAATAAAAATAAATAATAAGACGAAAATAAGAAAAGAAAATAAATAAAATAAAATAAAATAAAATAAATACTACTGTAACACTTTTGCAAAAATATGAGTGGAGGAGTTATCTGATGTAGTTATCTGGCTATGAATAAATTATTAATATTATTATTATTATTGTTGTTGTTGTTGTTGTTGTTGTTGTAATTATTATTACAAGAAGTTGGCTTATCCACCTCACACGCATAGACGCCCGTGATTGGCTGGGAACGCGGAAGTGGCATGAAGGGGGCGGAGTCAGGAGCAGACTGAGAAGAGGAGCAAACAAGAGGCAGCAGTTTGTTGATGTCGCTAGCAGGTATAACGGCGGTTTAGTATAAGTTTTTGGAGCGCTACAGAGCCATGGACGAAGTGACAGGAGCTCAGCTGATTGCTGAGTCTCTAAAGGCTCAGGTAAGAACGTTTGAAAACGTATAAAAGCGCAACATATTTACGAAAACTGCTGAAGTTACCGCACTGATATGTAACTGCTGCGCTTCTGAGAGTGTGTCAAAGTTCAAGTGAGCGCTATCAGGGTCACTGGTGGACTTTTAATGCCTAACATGTAGATAATGTACTATTCCTTGTAAAAATTTGTTAAATGCAGTTTGGTTTATAACGTTAGAGAACTGTTTCTTTCTCCAGAAAGTGGAGTACATGTTCGGGATAGTTGGTGTTCCTGTCATTGAAGTGGCCATGGCTGCTCAGGCTGCAGGCATCAAGTATGTGGGAATGCGCAACGAGCAAGCGGTAAAAAAAACCCTCTCTGTTAGAGTTCTGTTCACCACAGTTTCATGTTTACCAAATGTCTAATACATCCTGTCACACAACAGGCTTGCTATGCAGCTTCTGCCATCGGTTATCTGACTGGCAGGTAAGACTTTGAGCTACTGAACTGAATAGTGCAACCAGCTGCTGAGACACTTTCTAACTCACATGTCTGCTGTGGTTCCGTGAATCCAGACCAGGATCCTGCCTGGTGGTGTCTGGACCTGGACTCATCCATGCTCTGGGCGGAATGGCCAACGCAAACATGAACTGCTGGTAGGACTCCAAAAACACACTGGTAGTTTGTACAGTTAGATCTGCTGGTTTGTCTGCATATTGTTTTTAAGTGAGTGTTGCCTTTGTGCAGGCCGGTGGTCGTTATTGGAGGGTCCTCGGATCGAAACCAGGAAACAACCGGAGCATTTCAGGAGTTTCCACAGGTAGTGCATGAAAGGTGCCGTAGAAATAAAGTTCTGGTTATTATTTGTTGGATTTTTACCTGACACTGCTTCATTACATTTGTTGCTAGGTGGAGACATGCCGCCTGTACAGCAAGTTTTCTGCCCGACCCAGCAGTCTAGAAGCCATCCCCTCAGTGATAGAGAAGGTGACGTATCAACCTGCTCCTCCATATTTTTATCTTTATCCTGAATTGTATCCTACAGATAACATTAGATATTTTATTTATTTAAATTATATAGTTAACACAGATGTGACTGAAGTTTTATGGGATTTGGTCGTTTATAGGCTGTACGCACCAGTATGTATGGGCGTCCTGGTGCTTGTTATGTGGACATCGCAGGGGACATGGTCAATGCCAAAGTGGACAGGAGCCAAGTGAGGTTTGTTGTCGTTAGATTATTTTTTAAAATGTATAATATCACTTTTGTAACTCCAGAGATGTCAAAGCATTCAGAGAATTGTGTCTCTCCTGCAGAGTGGTGTCCTGCTGTCCACCTGCACCTGTGAGTTTGGCTGATCACGGTGGAATTACAGAGGCCATCTCTGTTCTAAAAGCAGCTAAAGCACCTTTAATCATCATAGGGAAAGGTAATACAAAACAAACGTTTGCTCCGTCTTTTGGAATCCTCACAATGAATGACTTAAAGCTCTAACTTTCCTTCACAGCTGGTGAGTAAGTTGCAAATCATAATCATGGGAATGATGTTGTTCCCAATAGGAGCAGCCTATGGCAGAGCGGAGACCGTTCTGAAGGAGTTTGTGGAAAGGAGCGGCCTGCCGTTCCTGCCCACCCCGATGGGGAAAGGGGTTTTACCGGATGATCACCCCAACTGTGTGGCTGCTGCCCGCTCAAGGTCAGCCTTTCTGCAGAACCAAACATCCTGTCTTGCACTCATCCAAATCTCTTGATTCTGTTTATCTTTTAAATTGACGGTCCAAGCTCTTGAGCTGAGAATTTTGGTTAAGTTAGTCCAACAGCGTCTAGCCAATCAGAATCTAGAATTTTTGGACCGCAATATGAGTAAATTTGGGCCATGTATTCAGGAAAGCAACATTGGTTTAGTTTTCTATATCCTCTTTAAATCTCTACACAATGTTTTACCACTTCTTCTATTTTTTCCTGTTACCAAGAGCTCTTCTCCAGGCCGATGTCGTGCTTCTGCTCGGAGCCAGGCTCAACTGGATTTTGCATTTTGGTCTGCCACCCAGATTTAACCCTAATGTCAAGATCATTCAGGTATGCAAACGTCCAAGCCAAGTGTTTGGGATTTGTCTGAGATCAGTTTCCAAACTAATGTTGCAATGCATGGCATAAAGCTAATAGGTTATCTAATTGCTCAATTCTTTTTGTCCTGAGCAAGCATTTCTTCATTCATATGTCCTACAGCGTATTTGATATCTCACAAGAGCTGTGTGCTGTGTGCAGGTTGACCTTTGTCCAGAGGAGATGGGAAACAACGTGAGGCCGGCTGTTGCTCTCCTGGGAGACATCAATGCTATTGTCACTCAGGTACATAAAGACCGCTATGACTGAAGACTAAACGAATGACTTTGGTGGCTAAAGGTTACAGCGACCTTACGAAACCTGATTTTGGCCATAACTCAAAAATGTTTTCACCAATTATGACAAAAATTCCCAAAAAATGTCTAATAGGATCAAATATGGTGCAAAAGGTCAAAGATATACGTCACTGTCATGTCGTGATATTCTGCAGAAACATTTTTCTGGTCGTTATACAAAACCATGACTCAGGAGCAGATGAGGACCTAATTTACAATTTGGCCAGATAATAAACTGAAGATGTCCATAAAGCATCCACATTTTAGAATTTGTAGCACCTTCCATATTAGCAGCTCTAAGCTCAGGGTTCCAACTTTACCAGCATTATTAATAGTTTTGTGTAAAGTGCTGGCATGCAAGCAAGAAGATTAGTGCTTGTATGTCTCGCAGTGAAATCTTCAGTGCACCTGGTATCCAATCAGAGTAGCTGCTGTACAACAGATCTGTAACAACTGCTATGGATGACAGAGATGACCGGTGCTGCCATAGGGGGCACCGCTGCTGCAGATGTCTACCGAGCTCATGACGTCCATGAAACCATTTTGAATGAAAGCACTGAATGCTAGAATTGGTCAGGTTTTTGTTGTCATACACAGTGATTTGAGGATAAACTACTCTAGCCATGAGACCAGGAGGTTGAACTTCATTTTCTAAAGAATCTGAATCAAGCCCAGCAGCTTTTTCCTACCGAGGCAGAAGTGCACATTGCATCCAAATTCCCCGAAACTTATCCCTAAATGAAGAAACGGACAAATTCCTTTAACTGCTCGTCTGTGAGCGCTGATAGCTGAGTTTGTTGTGCCGTCACATATCTAAATTATCACATGATTGCATACGTACATAGAAATTTAGATGTAACCCCGCTGTCTCATAGTATATTGGATCCAAATAATCCAGTTAGCTGATGAGATGCACCTAACATTAAATAACTGGTATTGAGGAAGATTTTAATGAATGCAGGTATCCTCAGAACTCCTTTGTCTGGACCCAGTGAATTGTCACGCTTTAATTTTTTTAATTATTATTATTTTCCTAATAGAACAAGCCTATATGTGAAATGCAGCTTTACTGATTTGTGGAGGCATACAGCCCTCAAGGAGTAATTCTAGTTCTGTTTTGGTTTTTTTTTCTTCCTTTTTTTAGCTCCTCACGTGTATTCGTAAAGATGGCTGGACATATGCCTCTAATACAGAGTGGTGGAGCACGCTGAAGCAGAAGATGGCTGCGAATGCAAAAACATCAAAGGTGGGTTTGATTCACATGAAAAATGTGACACTGTATGCCACCTGCTGATGATTTTAATAGAATCTGTATTTGATCTACTTTGAGGTTGTATCATGTTTTATCGATCATGAATCTTTACAAGTTTTTTTTTTCTTGTTTTGGTCAATAGGCACTTGCTCTGACAGAAACGGTGCCCATGAACTACTACACAGTGTTTCATCACATTTCCCAGCTGCTGCCACACGACTGCATCATTGTCAGCGAGGGTGCAAACACCATGGACATCGGACGCACGATGCTGAATAACTACCTGCCTCGGCACAGGCAAGGCCGTCGCTTTCAAGCAGGGATTAAAGACTCGCTTCTCAGTTGTGCTAATTGATGTGATAAACAACATAAAAGTGCAGGTGCTGCAGGAGTTCACAGGGGTGAGCGTCAACTTTGGTGCTAATGTAGGGCAGTAGAGGATCACATTAGACTTGTAAAACAAGTGTTTTTTTGAAGGTAAAATAATGCACAGCTCTCCCTCTTTAGATACTCTCATATTAATCCTATTGCTGCCTGATACTGTAGGTATTTTAATAATGATTTAAGATATTTAATAAAAGAGGAAAGTAACTGGAAGCAACAAACTGAACTTCAGCTCCTGGTAATATTTTGTAAAATCCCAGATTACATTCATGAGTCTCATTAATTTCACCTGATCTGTCTTTAGAGCAGCAAAATTTCATCTTTGTTGACATTTGAGATGTGAAATTGTAGGGCAACGTGAACACAGAACAGTGTTTTGTGATTTTTGGCAGCACACTGTGATATCTGAATAAATGTATTGAAGCCTTTCCCTGAGTGGAAATGCAGAGGCTGTAATGTACCTGCACCCAATTTACA